CTGGTCCTTGGCTGGTCCTTGGCTGGCCATTGATGACAGAACAGTGTGTGGATCAGCAGGCGTCTCAGGAGGATGTCAGGAGGACTGAAAGGGCAGCTGCAGAGCATGAAGGCAGAGACTATCAGTGAGTTTTGGAGAGTAAACACTGAGTCTGCTCTGGACTGCAGGCAGCGGGTCAGAGATATGTTAATATGACTCCGTCTCTGGAAAAATCCAGACATTATAAAGTCTGAGGCTCTTTAAAGGTTTCCTGCAAACGTAGTGGAATATTTTAAAAGACAAAACATTCAACTGTTTGATGATGCAGCAAGACAGGCGTGTCATAAATGATTGTTTACCAGCTGAAAAATAGATTTACACTGGATGAAAACCTGGGATAAAAAAAGTTAGGAAAGTAATATGTTTCACAAATTTTGCAGCTTCAGTTCTGTGCAGAAAGTTTTCATAGTTTACATGTTTGTGTGTCTATATTTTTCACTCTACTCTTACATGAAGTTAATTCACAGTAACCAAAGGCCGGTCCTATACAGTACTAGCCATTCAAAATGTCCCCACTTTCTTTAATGGCCCCTTGGCTGGTCCTTGGCTGGTCCTTGGCTGGCCCTTGGTCAGTTCTTGATTGGTCCTTGGCTGGCCCTTGGTCGGTTCTTGATTGGTCCTTGGCTGGCCCTTGGCCGGTTCTTAGTTGGTTCTTGGCTGGTCCTTGGCTGGCCCTTGGCTGGCCCTTGGCCAGTTCTTAGTTGGTCCTTGATTGGTCCCTGGCTGGTCCTTGGCCGGTCCTTGGCTGGTCCTTGGCCGGTTCTTAGTTTGTTCTTGGCTGGTCCTTGGCTGGCCCTTGGCTGGCCCTTGGCTGGTCCTTGGCTGGTCCTTGGCCGGTTCTTAGTTTGTTCTTGGCTGGTCCTTGGCTGGCCCTTGGCTGGTCCTTGGCTGGTCCTTGGCTGGCCCTTGGTCGGTTCTTGATTGGTCCTTGGCTGGCCCTTTATCGGTCCTTGGCTGGCCCTTGGTCGGTTCTTGATTGGTCCTTGGCTGGCCCTTTATCGGTCCTTGGCTGGCCCTTGGTCGGTTCTTGATTGGTCCTTGGCTGGCCCTTTATCGGTCCTTGG